AATGCAACATAATCTGTGGGACTCACTAACACAGGATATCATTACAGCAAATTGTATAATTAGATGCAAAAAAGAGTTGGACATTTAGGTGAAAAAAGATTGCAACATTAGTACAAATATATTAAAACAAATGCATCCTTTTAGTCTTCAGCCTTCGTGAAGGAAGCACACTAGGCACCTGGGAAGGGGGTCAGCTCCGTGAGGAGGTGCAAACTGACCCAGGGATTCTCATGCTGCTTTTCAGGTGTTCGTGCCCAGAGTTGTCTCTGTCCCCATGAACATCGGTTCTGATGCAGCCCCTGGTGATGCAGGAATGGTCCTATGTCCTCCCACGATGTCCTGAGTGGCACATTACAGACCAGGCGCAGCACAGCAGCACTGCCCACCCACTGCCTCAGGTAAGAGCTGGGTCTGGGAGCTTTTCTCATGGCAGCTTTTTGCAGTGGTTGCAAACGTCTGTGGAGCAAACCAGGACCTCTGTTCCTGGTGGCAGGGAAAGCTGTTAGCTCCAGCCCCCCCATCGGCTTGCACTTAATGAGAATGTTAGCTCTCCTTGAGCGTTTTGGCTGCAAAGTGTTTTTGAAAGTAGAGCAAGAGTGACAACCTGCAGAGGTGGATTTCAAGCTTCCTTCAAAATAAAGAGCAAGAGACCACCATTAACAGCTTTTGTGTATTTGGTGGGTTTACTTTTTTCCTGGAAACTTGGAAGAACATCAGCTTTTGCTGAAAATGTAGGTTTCTAACCTTCCTGCTTGCAGAGAAGAGTTTGGAAATAAGCCCCTGGTGAATGCTGTAAGGCAGAGGAGGAGCCTGACCTCTTTCTAGTCTAGTTACCTTGAGGAACAGAAAGTGGATGCTGACGCTGTTGGTCTCCCTCCTCCTTCCTCCAGGGTCTCTGACTGGCAGGCCAGGGTCCTCACGAAAGCCAGGCAGAGAGGTGAAGGTCTCCAGGATTGCTGGGTAAATGGCAGGGCAGAGTGGAGGAGAACAGAAAGGTGTGATGGTGACTGTCTGCAAGGCTGCCTGCCTTGTGCTCTGCACTGAGCTGTCACAAGCTGGTTTAGCACCTTGTCCTGAGTCACCCAGGACAGCAAGGCTGGGGAAACGCTGCCTCAACTCTGCTAGAGTATGGTTTCCCCTTTGCTGCCTGTAGCTGTTGGCCCCAGGGTACCTCTTACCTGACAAGGGATGATGGACAATGCCGGTTTTCCTTGGGCACTGGCAGTGTTGCTCCCAGGACAAATGAGGTCCCTGGCTCTGCCTTCTCCTTCTTCATCATGCTTCAAACATGAAAAGCAAAGGCTGAGCCTGGGGCTCTCCCTGCTGTGGCTTGCCATCTGTCTGGACCCATCCTGCCCCAGAGAGCCAGGGTGTACAAGAGGAAGGCAGAGCTGTCTCTGGAATGGCTGCAGCATGCAAGGATGAGGCTTGCAGCTGGAGCAGGCTTTTGCTAGCTGAGTTAGGGCTTATTGGCCCTGGGGTGGCTGTTAGGTAGCTGCTACCAGGCCAGTGCATGGGGGGTTAATGAACAGCCCAGCAGATGAAGCAAGGAGGGAGAGGGATAGATGAGCAGGGAAGTGCCCTCCTGAGCTGCCTGAGCAGTCCAAGCCTCTATGAGGGGGTCAGAGTCCTGTGGGGTTTGCTGGGAGAGGGGAGGGGAGCTGGGGCAGGACACCCTGTGGGACCCACCACCACTGAGCTGCAAGACAGCGCACAGTGAGGGTGCAGACATTCTCAGCTCAGGTCATATCCACTACAGGTTTCCCCCATTCCCTGCCTGAGCCTGGCTTCCTTCTGTGTGGGCATCAGTGTGTTGGGTGCCATGCACCAGTTGGCTGCTAGCTCCTGCAATGTTAAATGACAGCCTGCCTCATTCAAAGGGTCTGCCATGCCCTCCTCCTCACAGGTGTAGGTGTTGCCACCTAGGAAACAGCCTTCCTCTCTTTTCCTTGCTTGTCCTGAAAGTTCTCTGCAGGCTGCAGACAACTCATCCTTAGTTGTGCCCTGGCCTTGCTGAAGCCCCCCTCCTTCAGTCTGGGAGCTGGTTCTGCATCTGTTGGGCCTGGGAGGTGGTGGGGAGAGGAGGCTGGCCGTGCTGGTTCTAGAGGGAGAGACGGCAGCAGTCAGATGTGCAGGCAGGGAAGGAGGGGAAGAGAGGGAGAGAGAGATACAGGGAGCTTTTCATTCCCTCCCTGTAGGTGGAGGAGAGCACGGAAACAATGCTGGGCAGCAGGACTGTGGGGGGCACAAGGAGCCAGCCCAGAGCCTTCTGGCAAAAACAAACTATTTGCACCCAGTCTAGGTGGGCAGGAACATCTGTGCTGGCACCCAGTGCTGGGCTGGGGCACATGGTGGGCACAAGGGCATCTTTGGCTTCTTGGGGGTTAGGTCTCAAGGACCTGACTATTTACATTCCAGGTAGCCAAAGCTTGCTGGGGCCATTCCCTGGGTAAATCTCTTCCCTGGCAAACACCCCTGTCTGCCCTGCACGCGCTCCATCATCTGAGGGCAAGGTGTCTGCTGGTCACCCCAGCCCAGCCCACCATCACCTTTGTCATGCCCTTGCAGAGGTGGATCTTCCCCAGTGCCCAGAGCAATCCCTCTGTGCACAGCCAGCTTCCCGCAAAGACCTTTCCCATGCCAGGGTGCCCTGCAGCACACAGATCTCTGTCCCCTTTGTGCTTTGCAGGCGGCCACGATGGCACCACTGGGGTTAAGGCAGGTTGGAGGCTGCTGGAATGCCACCGGACAAAGCTGAGATTGAGGCTGGCTGCGAGGCACAGCCGCCCCCCTCCAGATTCCTGGGGGGTCAGTTCTCAGGGCGGCCCGCTCTGGTAAGCACAGGGCACTTGCCTGCTTCCCTGCCGGGTGCCTGGTGGCACCCGGAGGGGTGGGAGGCGATGCCTGCTCCTCCGGCAAAGCTGAGCAGCCCTGCATTGGATCTGTGGCTAAGCACAGGTAGATGCGCTCGCCAGAGCTTGTGTGAGTGTTCTGTGCCTGAAAATAAAGCTGTTCAAGGGTGGAGGGGGAATGCAGATCCAGGCTGCTGCTGCTGAGGCTCTGGGGAAGGGATGCTTAGAGGGAAAGCACTGCTTTTACCCTCTGCTTGCTTGCAGGGGTTTTGTTCTAGGGGAGCAGATGCCCTGCTTGGCCACTGTCACTGGCTCATCTGCTGGGGATGGTCTGTGAGTTGCAGGCTTGGGGGGCTTTTAACTTCTTCAAACAAGGCTGGGAAGACTGTGTTGTCTGCTGAGCTGTGCTGCAGTTGCACCCAGGTAGAGCTGATCCCTTCCTTTGGTATCCTCTGGGTTAGAGGGGAGGGCTGGAGTGTTCCCTGGCCGCACTATGGGGCTAACCTACTTCAGTGTCATGAGGATGTTCACATGCAGAGTATTGAATTTTCTACATGCAAGCAGCAATTTTAGCTTGAGTGGTTTATTATTCATGGCCCCAAGATTCCTGTGAACTCTGTGGGTGATGGTTTTCTTTGTTTTCTTGATGCTCTTGGAGTGGCAGGATGGGGAGGCAGAGAACAGTCTAGTGTTAGATGTTTTTAGATGAAGCAAACTTAGCACCAGTCTCAGTGATCATTTGATTTCTCTCTGAGAACTGGGATGGAGGGGGTATTGTTTTAGCTGTGCGGCCAAATTCCTTGTCTGATGGTTTCCTCCTGCCTGTTGTTCTCCTTGGCTTGACTGGATCTGTCCCCTGGACACCTCCAGGAGCCCTTGGACAGGACAAGTAACACGTATCTCCACATTCCCTTTGGAAGAGCTGCTGCTTTCCCCCAGAGGTGGCTGCCCTTCTCTGGCAAAGTGGTGCCTGTTGTATGTGCTGTTTAGAAAGTGCTAATGCAGTTAATTATGCTTGATTAATCACCTGGGGATAATTATCATAAATGAGCTCTAATATCAAAGTAGCATTAGATCGAAATGGTGCCATTTCCAGAACAAAGCGCATCAACGTCTCACTTGTGGAAATGCAATGTGTCTGTGTATTTTGCACAACAAACTATTTTTCAGAGAGGAAATCCCCTCTCACTCACCGAGTCCTATGTGAGGTGCTTCTAGTCCTGCTGGTGTGTGTTACTGTCGCCAGCAAGTACAACGATGTCTTTGCTGCCATCACGAGCAGGAGCATGATACAGTGCTAAAAGTTCAGGAGAGGATTCCTTCCCCCAGCCACTGAGGATTTGTTGTCCAGGTATCAGCAGCCAGTTTTCCAGGCTGAGTGGCATGGTACAAAGTGTGCTTCCTTTGTGTGGCTGGGTTAGGATTTGCTGTCATCTGCTCCACGGCCTCACAGAGCATCCTTCCCACCACTGCTCATTCTGGAGAGGTGCAGAGGAGAAGCAGCATCTGTGGAGGAGAAGCGGCATCTCAGATTTGCTGTGCAGGCATGGAATACCCTTGTGCTTCTGTAGAGGAGCAGGTGGCAGCTCCCAGTACTGGGGATGGCGTGAAGGAGGTTGGCAGTTCCCCTTGTTCCCTAGGAATAACAGGACCCATGGTGCTCGCCTCTTCTTGAAGCACAGCAGCCCTGTATGGCGTGGAAATAAATCACTGTTAGCCCTGCAGGGACTGTGACACACAAGGGCCAGCTCTGATTTAATACCTAGCAGTGAGAAAAGTTCATTGCTGGATAACTGAGGAGCACAGAGATCCTTCAGAACAGGAGATACGCAGTAAGCCCTTCCTTCAACCTTTGCTCTTAGTGCTGCTGGAGCTGGCACTGCATCCTTCCTCCAGGCATGACCATGAGCTTCCCTGGAGCTGCTAACAGACCCCTCTGGAAGCCAGGCAGCCCCCTTGGGAGTTGAAAAGCCAGGCAGGGTCAACACGGGGAGCGGGGGGGTAGGTGTCCACAGGCAAGTGTCATAAGCACTAGGCAGTGACCTCTGGATGCAGCGTGGTTCTGTTTCTGCCCAGGTTGAAGCCTCACAGGATGGTGCAGGACCTTTGTGTGTAACCTCCCGGGCTCCAAGCAGTGGTGCCAGGCCCTGGGCCCCTCTGGAGATGAATCTTTGCTGGAACGAGATCAAAAAGAAATCCCACAGCCTTCGGTAAGAGTCCCTGCCTGGAGCAAGCTCCAGGGCTGGCTTGGCCTTCCAGCCTTGCCTGCAGCATGTGTTTGTCAGGAGGTTTTTGAACTTGTTTGCTTGATGAGCCGTATGAATCCACAGTGACCTTGGCTTGGTTTCCCCTCTTGTCCACAGACCTCTGAGTCTTTCTCCCTACACTGAAAAGCATCCCCTCCATTTCCACCCATCCTGTCCTCCTCTCCCCTCCCCTCCTTCGCACTTTCTGCTGCTTTCTCCATCCTCTGCTGCTGCTGTTTCTGCGGCTTGTCTCTTTTTGTCCCACGGCCTTGCTGCCACCTCCTCTGCGCTTGTGCCTTTGCTGGGAGCCCCCTCCACTGTGCAGGGGGAACATGCCTTCCAGACTGTCAGAGGTTGCAGCTCCACAGCCAGCATGACAGAGAGCTTAACTGGGGCGTGTTAATTGTCTCCTGCCTTAATGCAAGGCTCCTGGAAGCTGCCCAGTCATGTAAATGCTGAGGCAAGCCCTCTGTGCTACCCAGAGCACAGCCCTGACCCACAGGCAGATGCAAAGTGACTCTGTCCTCTGCTCTGGGCTCCAGGGTGATGAATAGTCTCAGAGTTTCCTCTCCCCAATGCCTCCATGCTTCACCTCACCTAGCAGTGCAGCATCTGTGCTGGCGGAGGGTCATGCATAGACCATGCTGAGGCATGCTGCCAGTCACTGGTGGGGTCCTGTGGGTGCCTGGGGTCACCACCCCAGCCATGGTGGTGCTGTGCCTTCTCTCCCCGGGGAACCTGCTCCTCTCCTGTCTGACCTCCATCCTGCTGTCCTCACTCTCCTGCCAGGGCTCGGCTGGAGGCCTTTTCTGACCACAGTGGGAAGCTGCAGGTGCCTCTCCAGGAGATAATAGACTGGCTCGGGCAGAAGGATGAGGAGCTCTCTGCACAGCTGCCCCTGAGGGGTGATGTCCTCCTGGTGCAGCAGGAAAAGGAGACGCACGCGGTATGTTCCTTCACACCTCCCCTGCAGCCGTTCACTGCTAAGATGAGCTGCAGGTGGGCAGCCCTGCCTGGGACCGCTGCCTCGTGTCACTGCCCATGCCCACAGCCTGTGAGTGTACCAGTCCTCGCCCACCTTCATCTCTGCTTCCTATGGAATGGCAGAGCCCCAGTCCCGTAGCAAATACCCATAGCACGCAACAGGTGGAGCCCATCTGGTTTTAGACAATAAATCTGCATTATGACCTCAAGTCATCTGCAGCTGCTGCAGCTGGTAGTGGGCCCCATCACTTCTCTCCTAGTTTCCTCCTTGTGTCCTACCTCTGCAACAGAGGGAATTGCCTCTTACTGGCCTTTGCTTTTGGGATCTCGGGCCCTGAGGAGGTAAGTTGGTCTAAAGGCAACCTGGTGGTCAGGACATGAGTGATTCCTGCAGTAGCATGTTATCATCATATCTGGAACTGGAGTAAACCCAGACAGATCAGTTTCCTGCTTCCTTGATCAGAGCATTTCATTCTTACTGCAAGTGGCTGTTGGGCTTTAGTTGTTTTTACCTTGAAAACAAAACTAAACTGCTGCTTACTGTTGCTATCCCTCATCCTCGCTGGAGCTAGCCACTTCCCCGGCGCACAAATAGCCAATCCAGCAGACAGAACCAGTGGGGGGCTGCAGTTGGAGAGGAGAAGAGGCCATCCTAAACCAGCCTGCCTCCGAGGTCCGCCCTGGCATATGTGCTGCTTTGGGGCATCCTGCTGTTCCTCTCCTTGCTCCTCTGGCAGCTGGACCTGTTGCTGAACAGCTGCTGGAAGGACTGCTTGCACGACCATGGTCTCGCTGCATGAGTGAGGAGCATCTCCAAGCAGTCCTGTGAAAGCATCATCAATAAACCAGTTCCTCTTGCACAGCCCTGGCTCAACACACCCTTTTGGGTTTGCTGTTCCACCTCCCCTCTCCAGCAAAGCTGCAGTCCAGACCTCTGCAGGAGCCACCTTCTTGCAGGTGGTCATTCCTTCCACGAACTGCAAAAATGTTTCTCTTTTAACTTCTCTCTGTGTCTCCAGTGAGGTTTGGGCCCTGGAGTGAATAAATCACCTCAGCCCTTGGTGAGAGGGCAGCAGGGGCACAATTCTCCAGCTCAGCCTGCTGTCTCATCTCTGTGTTTTCCAGGCTTTCATGGAAGAAGTGAAGTCTCGGGGACCATACATTTACTCTGTCCTGGAGTCGGCACAGGCTTTCCTTTCCCAGCATCCATTTGAGGAATTAGAAGAACCAACTTCAGAAAGCAAAGGTCTGTGGAGCTCCCCCTTCCTTGTTTTCCCATAGCACAGCAGAGGTCCTCCTGGGCTGAGCTGGAGATGGTTGGTGTGGCACAAAGCAGCACATCAGTGCTCTGCCTCGCACCATCATGCACCAGGCTGTTTCCAATCCTTTGCCCAAATGTCAGACCGGCACAGAGAGGTGCTTCTGTCCTGGGCAAAGGCAGAGGCTGCTGGCACAGCCCATGATGGGGTGCATCTTATGAGACAGTATCAAATGTGCTCTGGGTAGGTTTTTAAAGGGCAGCAGGACTTCTGCTTGTGAGGACAGACAGCAGACAGAGGTCTGTGGACAGGCTGGATACCTAGAGGAGTTGGTGCAGATAACCAGGTGTTATCACTTGGTTTCCCTCCCTCTTTCCAGTTTTCCCTAGATTTTTTTATCTCCCTTTTTCCTGCCCTCCCTCCCTCTCTTGCCCACTCTCCTCTGGGCTGGGATCTCATTTTTGCTCTCTGTTCCCTGTCTGCTTTGCCTTCACAGATGTCTCTCCCCGGCACCGGATCCAAAACATCAGCCGCTTTGTCTGGAAGCAGGCAAACGTGGCCAGTGAGCTGTGGGAGAAGCTCACGGCCCGGTGTGTGGACCAGCACCGCCACATTGAACGGACACTGGAGCAGCTGCTAGAGATTAAAGGGGCCATGGAGGAGCTCAGCACGACACTGGACCAGGCTGAAAGCGTGCGTGAAACCTGGGAACCCATTGGGGACCTCTTCATTGACTCCTTGCCAGAGCACATCCAGTCGACCAAGGTACTTCTGGCTCTGAGAAGGCTCCAGCCTTGGCCCCAGAGGTGATGAGATGCTGCTTCCCAGGAGGGCAATGCTGCTTCTCCTGACTGCTCAGTCCAATGCAGCCTCCTTACTTGGGGTCTCAGGGGCCAGTCCTCCTGCCAACAGCCCCCTAGCTTTGCGAGTGTGGATTTGGTCCGCAGTGTCCTGAGCAATTGGCTGTGCTGAGCGCCTTGTCATGGCACAGACCTTACATAGGTACAGTGGCTCAGCATAGATGAGCCATTGTCCACATCCCACTTCTCAGGAGATTTGAGTAATCTCCAGTCTGGCTGGTTTGTTTTCTTGTTTTTTTCTCCCCCTGCTAAAGTACACTGTGGGAAGGGCTAGTCAGCAGCATGTTGCCAGTCACTAGACCACCCTAGCTTGTAGCAGAGGAATCGGATCCAAGTCCTGACCACTCGCCTGCTTCTTTTCTTTCTTACCCTGCCCTGTGCCTGTTCCCCTGGGCATGGGACTCCAGCTGTTCAAAGAGGAGCTCTCCCCCATGAAGGATGGGGTGAAAGTGGTCAATGATCTTGCGCACCAGCTTGCCATCTCAGATGTCCACCTGTCCATGGAGAACTCCCGTACCCTGGAGCAGATCAACACGCGCTGGAAGCAGCTGCAGGTGGGAAGGACCAAGCACTGCAAATAAGTTACAGGCAGGAGGATGCTGGGGAAGGGCTGTCACTGCTGAGCTTCAAGGACGATAAAGTAAGGCTTGGCATAGCAGGGATGGTATAGCTGGTGTTCCTGGAGGAGGAGAGCATCAGTTCAGTGTGAGGAAAGTGGCTGGTAAATCTGTAGAGGTCTTGAGCAGGAAAAGGCAATGGGAGGAACAAAGGATGCTGTCTTGAGAAGAATCAGGATCTGATGGAGGGGTCAGTACCAGCTGTGGTTTTATTGATGTCTGTGAAAATATGGATACAGGTGAGCTGGAGATGTGGCCTGTGCTGCCTCAGACTGTGGGAGGAGGTGTAGAGGGCTGAGTGGACTGGGGAATGCAAATACCAAGGCAGATGAAGAAGGAAGAGGACCTGCGTGCTGGGGCATGTCTGAGTCCACGCATAAGCCTTCCTGAATGGGGCTTCAATCTGAAATGCCTGATGGGCTGCCATTGAATTCTTCTGTCCCTTTCTCCAGGCCTCCATAAACGAACGCCTGAAGCAGCTCCAAGACGCCCACCGGGACTTCGGACCAGGCTCCCAGCACTTCCTCTCCTGTACGTGAGAGGTTCCTCCTGGCTTCCTGCCGTGAGGCTGCCTCTGCAGAGGGCTTAGCATGGGCTATGGCACAGGAGAATTGGGTGCAGGGTACTGTTGCCGGGCCCAGAGCCATACACACAGCTAGGAAAGGGCCCAGGCCAGTGCCTGGTGCACAGAAACCAGAGCAGAAGGCATCTCCCAAAGTCAGCGTTGTGCTACCTCACCTTGTGGGACCAAGGGTGGGACATGAGTGTGGTTCCCCTTCAGAGCGCAGAGCTGTGACACTCGCAGCAGCAGCTCCCAGGTGACGCTGGTAGTGTGCCAGCCTCAGAGACTGGGTGGGCAAGACAACAGATGGCAGAAAAAGGCAGCCCCCCATACCCCATGTTAGTCATTCGGAGGCCAAAAATGTGCACGTTAAGGAGGCTTTTGTTCACGTGGTGAGGCAGAGGGATGCTGTTCCTACAAAGCTGAGCTGCTGCTGGCTGGTGGCTCTCAGTCCTGCAAAGGATGGGCAGCCGGTTGTGCTCCAGAGTCTGGGGTCCATCCTTGGAAATGCTGAGCCCAGCAGTGGGGTTTGTTGGCCTGTGTTTCTCTGCAGACCATGTCCTCCTATCTGAAAGGAAGAGCGACTTTTCCAGTTGCGGGAATTGATAAGCTGCCTGTGACAAGGGAAAATAGCTGAGGATCATAAAAGGGCTTTCATCCTCTAGATAACAAACATAGGGTGGCCGGCAACTGGCATGGGATGCGTCCTCATCTTCCCTAGATGCTGCAGCTGACACACAGAGCATGAGTAATGGAAACAGCAGATGCTGTGGGTGCCCAAGCCTGGCCATAACGGGCAGTGCTCTGTGTGTGTCCAAATCCCAGCTGCTATGAGTCCTGCCCGCTGGTAACCACAGCGTTTCCTTGGGCATCATCAAAGCGTCATGAAGCATCTCTTCCTGAGTTCTGAGCTCAGCCAGATTCAGTGCCCCCGTCTCAAGAGAGGCAAGATGCCTCTGACAAGACCAGCAGTCTTGCGTCTTATAGGCAGCATTAACTTGCCCGCTTCAACACCCCCAGCTGGTGATTTGGGAAGGTACAGCCTCTTCAGAGGCTGCTGGCCTCTGACCGACCTGCTGGCACAGTCCCACTGGGCTCTCATCAGAAACAGAATCAACGTAAAGGAGCATTTGGTGTTGATCCGACATCTGTGTCTCTCTCCTTGCAGCCTCTGTCCAGGTCCCCTGGGAGCGAGCCATTTCCCCCAACAAAGTGCCATACTACATCAAGTGAGTGTGCTCCCAACTGCAGCCCGTGGTCTTCTCTGGCCCAGTGGGAATAGGAATTAGGGACCAATTAGGAGTGGGGGGCAGTGAGCAGACTGGCCTAAGCACTGACCTCCAGCAAAGCATGTGACCCCCAACCTGGCAAAGCCACTCTTTTCCTGCCTGCTGAGATGCCCCATATGAGGGGGGACACTGGCTGGAAGGAGGGGGGCCTGGCAGCAAGTGGTTCTGTGGGCATCCTCCACGCTGCTGTGGCTGGGGAGTGTGCTCACTGCGGTGCAGCAGCCCCAGTGTCTGCAGGCACTGGGGGACTTGCTTCCAGGGCTGGCCAGGTCCTTTTTTAATCTCTCATGGCAGCTGCTTAATTCCCAGTTTGACTCTTGGTTTCCTTCTATTTTCCTTCCAGTCACCAGGCCCAGACGACATGCTGGGACCACCCAAAGATGACGGAGTTGTACCAGACACTGGGTAAGGAGGCTGCCACAAAGCCATTCGAATAGCATCCGCCTTTTCGCAGTTTGGGGTGCTATGTGAGATCCCCCCAGCCCGCCTGCTCCCCTCTGTGGCACAGGGCCCCCCCAAAGCAATGGGGTGCAACCACCTGCCAGGCTCTGCCCCTCCTCCTACTGCACACACTCTGCTTCTGCTGGTGGGGCTGGAGTCTGGGAACTGCAGCTGCTGCTTCCTGCCCTGGAGATAAGGATGTCGAGCTGTGGTTTTATTCTTCTTTTCCTGTGTTATTGCAGCGGATTTGAATAACATCAAGTTCTCAGCATATCGGACGGCTATGAAGCTACGACGGGTGCAAAAAGCCCTGCGATGTGAGTGCAGGAAGTATTTCCCTCCTGCTGAGTCTCCCTTGATAAAGGCATTAAACTAACACAAGCTTTTATCAGCACATCAAAGGCAGGAGCCCACCAGGGGACAGGTAGCTGAGGCGAGAAGCACTAGGAAGATGAGTTGTGGCTGGAAAGCTGAGCAAATCCACCAGCAAGGTGTCTGTGTCAGCTTCTTTGCAGGCATAGGGTGGAAATGCCTCAAGGGCAGGTGTTAGTCAATGAGATTTGAGAACAAAGAGGTCCATCTCAGAGTTACAAAGTTGTGGGATCAGGCAGAGGCTCACCCAGTACCTCCAAAGGAGCCCAGAGAAGCCATGGATGTAACCAAGAGTAGAAACCAGCCTTGCTGGCAGGGGCAGAGAGGGCTCCACTACTTAAAGAGGAGGAAGGGAGCCAATAAACCTGACTTCTGCACTGTTGGTAAAACTCCAGTTGAAACGAGGATTAATAGCGAGGTGGATATGATGCGACAGGAGTTAAACACTATGCGTGGGTCTCTGAGAGGAAGCTGCTCCTCGGGAGCTGCTGAGGAGTTTCCAAGGGAATTGGTGAGCAGGTGGATGGGAATCTGATAGATGCAGCATCCTTGGCTGCTGGAGAGCTTTTGGTAAGGCCTCTCACCTAAGGCTCTGTCAAAATGAAACAGCAGCAGGATGAAGGAAAACCCCTCATGAATTAATCATTCCCAATGGGGAGGAGACACAGCCAGGCAGCAGTGGGGTCCCAGGCAGACCTGTGCTCCTTGACATCTTGTGAAAGGCCTGGAAGAAGGTTGAGTGAGGGTGAGAGGAAGTTTGGTACTCAAGGGAGTTGAACCCTGGTGGCGGAGTAGTTTCATGATGCTGTGGTGACCAGGCTGCCCCATACCTGGGGATATTCAGGGCTGATGTAGTGCAAATGGGGGAAAGCAGCAGTTAGCTTTTGCCACCCTGCAAAGTTGCCATGCAGCAGTGGCTGGAGAAACACCAGATATGGTGGGGAAAAGGGCAGAGAGCAAAGAAGAGCCCTTCCATGTGCTGCTTGTGCATCTTTGCCCATCTCTTGCATCTCACATGCTGTGCTGGTGCCTTCTTCCCAACCCAGAAATGACGTGGAAGAACATGAATAAGTGCTTCTTGCTCAAGACATACTTGAGAAGGGCAAAGAGGCTGCCAAGGCAGCTTCCCCGTGATGAGAGGTTTGGTGGAATGAGTGGCCATGTAGGAAAGAGGCAGTGTGCAACATGCCAGAGCCATATGCAGTCATGGGCAGTATGGACACAAGGGTGAGCAGGAGCGATACTGGTGTATGAAGTGGGGTGCCCCAGTGCAACTGTCAGCAGCTTTGACAGGAGAAGGGAGGAGTTTTCCACAGAGTGAAGTTACAATGTGGAAATGGCACGTGATCCCCCAGGCACTGAAAACATAAATAGTCTCAGAAATTGAAAGATTTTCAGGAAAGTAAGATTGTTGGCTGCTAAACATGATAGCACATACAACCTGTGGCCATAGAAATCTGAAAGCAGGGTAGCCAGGGCAGCTTGTACTGTCCTAGCCCCATTTTAGGTTTGTGCCCTGACACCCGCAGCCAGTCAGAGCTGGAGACAGGACTGCTCCACCTCTGGGCAGCTGTTCATATGGTCTGTGTGGCTCTGTGGCCCCTCACCTCCCCACACCAGCCCCACAGGGACCCAGCATGTGGGAGGCTGGCTCTGGGCACCTGTGGCTCTGCACAGTGCCTTTCATGGGTAGCATTTTTGTGGCCATGGTTGGCCACAGCAACAGGGAAAGAAGGCCACACAGAATGGTGGTCCAAGTTGACTATAGGTGGAGATGTGGCTATTTTGGGAGGGGTTTATGGATGGGAGAGCAATTCTGGGAGCTGTGCCCATCCTGCCAGCATCTTCCCCACCGCAGTGGGGCTGAGACTGCCCCAGGGCAGGGCAGGACTGTGTCTCCCTCCTCTTGGTTTTCACCTCTCCTGTTTTCCTCTGTGCCTCTGATCCCTCCACCTGTGCTTTCTGTGCAGTGGACATGGTAACCCTGGCCACGGCCTTGGAAATCTTCAATGAGCATGACCTGCAGCCCAGTGACCGGGCGATGGACGTGGTGGAGGTCATCCACTGCCTGACTGCCCTCTACGAGAGGCTGGAGGAGGAGCGGGGCATCCTGGTGAATGTGCCACTCTGTGTGGATATGAGCCTCAACTGGCTGCTGAATGTCTTTGACAGGTACCACTCCCTCGGCATTCCCCTGAGCTGTGGAGCTGCCATGCTTGGAAGGAAACCTCCATGTTACTCTTCCAGCTGGCAGTGCTGCAAAAAGGCCCTGGCCACTAGCGAGGGGGCTGCCTGGTGCAGGCTTGCCTTGCTGACCCCCCTGCATAAAAAAACCCTCCAAAACATTTGCAAACCTGTGCAATATCTTGCTTTGCAGTGGCCGCAGTGGGAAGATGAGGGCTCTCTCCTTCAAGACGGGCATTGCATGTCTGTGTGGAACAGAGGTCAAGGAGAAGTTTCAGTGTGAGTGCCCCGTCTCCATACCCCAGGGCCTGGTGTGGAGTAACCTGGGGAAAGCAGAACTGTTTCCTGGCTTAGCCTTCTTTGCCCAGGAAGAGCAGAGAAACAGCTTTCCTGCAGTGACTAATCTGCTTGCATCACCACCTCTCCCTTCCTCCCTCCCTCCCCAGGCCTACGCTGCCTAAATTAGGAGGCATTTTTGCAGACTGACTAGTGCTGCGGTGATCTTGCTTGCATGGCACTATAAGGAACAGTGCAGAGAAGGCAAACAGGCAACAGTTATCCAGTGATTCCCAGAAGGAAAAAAACCCGGGGGTGCATGGCTGGGAAGTAGGTTTCAGCCAAATTAAAGGAAGCCCCTTTCCTCACTGCATTTTAACCATGGTACTCTCTGCCATGGGATACTGTGGAGAAGTTAGCATAAGAAACATCAAGGGGTTAAATAGAGGGATTGGGCAGATTCATAGAGGACAAGCCAGCTGTGGCTGTTAAAGAAGTGATGTATGTAACCTGTCTCAAGAAGACTCTAAACTCATGGTTATTGGGAGCTGGAAGGATACTGGTGAAGGTTATTTAATCATAGCTCAGTTTTTCCTTCTGATTTGAGCTCCCTGCTGGAGACAGGCAATGGGGCCTCTGGTCTGATCCACACACTGCTGCCCCGTGCCTGTGTCCTGCCCAGTGTATCAGGGCATCAGCCGTGTCTCTAATGGGGCTATGTGTCCGTCCTGCCGGCAGATCTCTTCAGCCAAGTGGCGAACACCGGGGGACTGTGTGACCAGCGGCACCTTGGCGTCCTGCTCCACGAGGCCATCCAGGTCCCACGCCAGCTGGGGGAAGTGGCGGCATTTGGGGGCAGCAACGTGGAGCCCAGCATCCGTAGCTGCTTCCGCTTTGTAAGTAGGGTGCCATGGCCCGTGCCGCCCCCTCTGCAGCAGCCATGCTGGGGAGAGTCTCTCGGAGGTGGCAAGGAGCTTGCACACCATCACAGCTGGGTCCCAGCTCTAAGTAGCCCCTTCCTCTCCCCTCCCCAGAGCAATGGGAAGCCTGCCATCGAGGCATCCCAGTTCCTGGAGTGGGCCAACCTGGAGCCACAGTCCATGGTGTGGCTGGCCGTGCTGCACCGGGTGACCATAGCTGAGCAGGTGAAGCACCAGACCAAGTGCTCCGTCTGCCGGCAGTGCCCCATCAAGGGCTTCAGGTAGGGGTTGTGATATGGGACCTTGGCCCCCAATGGAAGTACATGGTGTCCTGCAGGAGGGAGCTGAATTTGCTCTGTGCTGTTGGGGGAACCTAGAGCTCTGCAGCAGCAGTGTTTCAGGCAGGCCAGACCAGGTGCCAGCAGAGGGGAAGGAGCAGGATGCTTTTCTGGGGACTTATCCATCAGCACTGTGGGTTCAGTGGGGTGTGAGAGCAACACAGACCACCTCTGTCCCCTGCTGAGCTCTTCTTGGGCTCCAAAATGATGTGGTTTTGCTGACTCTTGCTGCTTCTCTGTGGCCTCTTGATCTCTCCAGGTATCGGAGCCTGAAGCAGTTCAATGTGGATATCTGCCAGACTTGCTTCCTCACTGGGCGGGCCAGCAAGGGCAACAAGCTGCACTACCCCATCATGGAGTACTACACCCCGGTATGGAGCTGGGCTGCGCTGGGAGGGTCTTGGCTCAGAGCAGTTCCCCATCAACGGCAGCAGCCGTGCGATGTTTAGGCTGGTGCAGCTCCAGAAGTGGATCTCTTGTGTGTTTTTATTTCCCTCTGCATGCTGGAGGTTGCCTGTATCCCTGCTATTCTGGGGCTCGTGGTGAGCAGGATGCATGGCACCCACCAATGCCCAGTTTGGCTTGTGCAAGGCCCCGTGACAGGCTGACAGAGCTGCCGTGTGCCCTTCCTGCTTCCTCAGCTGTGTCTGCCTCTTCCTCTGTGGAGTTCGTGCCCAGCCTGAAGGGACTTCTTTCCTGTGGATGCTGACATGTGGTCCCCCACTTTTCATTAAGCAGCCTCTTGGTAATGTTTGTGTCTCTGCAGACTACATCCAGTGAGAACATGAGAGACTTTGCCACAACACTGAAGAACAAATTTCGGTCCAAGCAGTATTTCAGCAAGCACCCGCAGAGAGGTTACCTGCCCGTCCAGTCCGTACTTGAGGCTGACTTCTCTGAGACGTGAGTTGTCTGTGCCCTGGGCTGTGTCTTTCAACCCTGCCTGATACGTGGGCTCCATGGATGGAAGCAGCATCTTAGCTGCAAGACAGGGCTCCCCTGGGAGGGCTGGAGGGGGCACTTGCTCTGGGGGTGATACGGCACCTAGTTCTTGGAGAAGCAGAGATTTCAGTCTCCCTCTCCAGCCTGTCCCTGGCTCTTCTCAGCCCACATGAGACCAGGGCAGCCTCTCCAAGCCCTAACTTTGAGCGAGAACTGCCAAGCCTTTCCGACCAGTGTACGTCTCTTCCAGACCAGCCTCCTCCCCGATGTTACCACATGCTGACACCCACTCCCGGATCGAGCACTTTGCCAGCAGGTATCACCACTGGGCACTCCTGTCACGCCAGGGCACGGAGCATGACTCCAATGGGTGTGGAGGGGTTTCGGGGCAGACGCGTGGCGAGCTCTTGCTGCCCGCAGCCCCCTCCACGCTTCCCAGCATGCTGCCTGGCAGGCAGAGGCTGGCTGTGGTGGCTCAGGCTGCAGTGCTGTTGGGAAGAGGCCTGCACCACTTTTCTCCTGCCTGGGACATGGCTAATGCCATGCAAATTGGCAGCAAATGCCATGCATTTGACAGCAGGTGTCTTGGTGATGAAGCAGCCTCCATGTACCCTCCTGCTCTTCTCAGTATGAGCTGCTGGTTGGATTCTCACCAGGCAGATCCCTCAATGTCTTGCTCTGCCTGTGCGCTCACCAGTGCTGCTTGCACACTTCCCATGGCTGCTGCCTTGTTGTTTGTAATGCCTCTGCTCTCACCATGGGTTCAGGCAGAGTGGGGACCCAAGGAGCACAGGGAGCCTGTAGCTCAGGCCCTAGGCTGGAGCTGGCATGCTTTCAGCCCTTTGCTTATGTGAAAGGAGGCTGAGCGAGCTGCATGGCAGCAGACCTTTATTCCAGAGACTGTCACCCGAGAGCAGCAGTGTCTTTTGTTTTCTAAAAAGGCAAAACTCTCTAGAGCCTGTAAAGGGGGGCAGATTGGTGCAGGCCTGCTGGGAGACCCTGCCAGAGAGGGGTCTTGCAGAGGCTGCCATAAGTAGCGTGCATCAAGCAGACATTCAGGGTGTCTCTGACCATATCTCAACCTGTTTCTCTTTCTTCCAGGCTTGCAGAGATGGAAAGCCAGAACTGTTCCTTCTTCAATGACAGCCTGTCCCCTGACGATAGCCTGTGAGTTCTGCCTCCTTTCCCTCCTCCTCACCTCCTGCCAAGTCAGGGCTCCTGTGGCTCCATCCCTGTCTAGCCAGGGCACAGAAATGCTTTCCTTCCCAGCTCCTTTGAGTCTGAGGCTCCTGGGCACCCCCAGCTACCCAGTGTTGCTGAGCCACTTCTGAGCTCTAGACCTGGAGCAGCCAGAATGAGCTTCCATATGAAACCATCTCCCTCCAGGCTGTCCTTCCCCAAGGGCACACAAATCTCATGAGACTGATGTTTCTCACTAAGGTGTTTCTCCACCTGCTGCAACAGGGACGAGGACCAGTACCTGCTGCGCCATTCCAGCCCCATCACCGACAGAGAGCCTGGGGGCAGCCAGCAGGTTCCAGGAAGCCTCAGCATGGATGACAAAGGAGAGCTGGAGCGAATCCTCGCCCACTTAGAGGATGAAAACAGGTAGGGGCACGGGCAACTCTGAAAGTGGGGTTTATAGCCTAAGGTGAAAGGGCTGGAGAAGCCTGGCAGAGCTCAGAGTGGAGCCAGGGGATAACTGCTGGGGCTGGAGCTGGGGATCAGAGGAGCTGAGTGGGCTGGTTTGGAAGGTGTCTAGGCTGAGCCCTAAAATGTTTATGGGACCACTCAGTGAGGGTGTGCTCTTCAAGGAACGGAGAAGACTCTGTTCCCCAAAATGTTCCTGCCTCCATCCCCAGAACCTGTTCCCCTCCTGAACCCCAAAATAGTTGAAGTGCACGCAGGGCACTGCTGTCTCTCTTGTCCCTGAGACCCTTGCAAACAGTTGTGGTACTGCTCTGGACCACATGAGGTGAGGCTCTAGGCAGGGTGGATTGGCTCAGGAGGAGGTGATCCTTTCCCTGCCCTTGTTTTCAGCCTCTTAGAAAGCAGTTGCATGTCTTTTTGTAAACTGCCTGAGGGGTAGAGCTGCAGGCAGGCCACCCTGTGGTGCAGGGACAAAGTCCAGGAGTGTGCTGGTCCGCAAGCTTCACATCTGGCAAAGCCTCCAGGATTGTTTTGTCTCTGAGTCATGGGCCATCCCCAGTGTGCAGCTGTTGGGTGTTTCCAGCAGGCTTTAGAAAGGAGAGCAGTGATGCTGACCTAGGCTATCTTGCAGGGTACTCCAGGGAGAGCTGAGACGTTTGAAATGGCAGCATGATGAGGCAGTGGAGTCTCCAACCTTGGCTACAGGCTCCCCCGAATCAGTGCAAGACCCACATAACGATGAGCTCCTAGCAGAAGCACGAATCCTCCGGCAGCACAAGAGCCGCCTGGAGACCCGCATGCAGATTCTGGAGGACCACAACAAGCAGCTGGAGTCCCAGCTGCACCGGCTGAGGGAGCTGCTGCTGCAGGTACTGTCAGAGCAAGGATCCAGGGAAGCCCATCCTTGGGGTGGCCTTTGCCATAACAGAGTTGGGGCAGTGGCGAAAGGGATGATCAGAAGTGGGGGAGGACAAGGACAGAGGATGGTGACAACCCCCCTTCTCTCTCCAGCCTCCAGCAGAGTCAGATGGCAACAGTTCAGCAGCCTCTTCCTTGGCTTCCTCTCCGCATCAGTCTGAAGGCAGTCAGGCAAAGGAGAAAGAGCACAACACCCCTGACACGGAAGCTGCAGGTGAGGACTGGGGTTGGGCTGAGCACTCAGCCCCGCTCCCTTGGTTCAATGCTGCAGGAAGCTGCCTGCACCTTGCCATCCTGCAGAGATGCTGGCTGGTGAGGTGGATGCCCAGAGAGCCTGCTCACCACCACCCCATCTGCCCTCTTTCCTGCTGCAGATGATGTGGAAGCCAAAACCCAGGAAGTCAGCGTGTGCCTGGAAGACATCATGGAGAAGCTGCGGAACGCCTTCCCCAACTCTCGAGGTACTCGAGTGAAATCCCCCTCTCTGGCCTCTTACTGCTCCCTCAGATGAGGTTTTCCCCACAGAGCCCTGCCCCAATCCCAGCTTCCCTGCGACAGCCGATCCCCTGCAGCACCTACAGCCAAGAGCTATGCTGCCACGGTGCTGCTGGGACTGGTGTGTGGCCTGGGCGCAGAGAGGATGAGGAGAAGGTTTCACACCTGCAAGGAGAGGTGATCAGAGCTGCCAAGAGTATGGACCAACTAGATCCCCTCAGACGAGCTGCAAGGCAGCCTCCTGCCCTGCTTGGGACCCCACACCTCAGGGGGCTCCCCACTGCGAAGATGGACAGACCTGCCAGCATTGAGTTTGCAGCGATCACCTTGAGCGACCTCCTTGCTTCATCCCTGTCCAGACCCCTCTCCAGGAGAGGTCGAGGCCCCAGTTACCTGGTGAGATGGAAGCAATGGTGCATGCTCTCCTGGCTGCTCATGGACGGCTCTTCCCAGCAGGGATGGGGACTGGGGGATGTGTGTGCGGACAGTGCTCCACTCGCCCAGTGGGTTTTGGTGTTGGTCTTCCTGCTGTCCCTCTGTGCTCCAGCCCAGGAGCTGCATTCGGTCCCTCACCCAGGCTACCCATATGTGTGCTGGGGAGAGACATTGCTTGGTGCCAGCACTAACACGAGGGCGGGGAGAGCTTCCCTCTCTGCCCACGCAGACCCTCACCCACTTTCTGCCATCCCTGAGCAGGATCCTCCTGGCTCTGCACCAGCCCTGTTCTAACGAGGTGGCTCTGGGTCCTATTTTCCTGACCTCTTAATTTCTCTTTCAGGTATGACCTCCCTTATCTAACACCTCCTGTGAGCCAGAGGCTTTTCCTAACCAGCTACCTGGCTGCTTTCCTCCCCCTCCTCTCCCTGCCATGCTCCCTGTGCTGCGGCAGACCTTGCACAGACTCCCTCTGAGCCGGTCGTGCAGGATGCTTGCTAGCTCCAGAAGATATCAGGGGAACATAGGTCATGCAGGAGCGGGACTGTGGGCTCCACAGGAGGCTGGCTCGGTCACTCGGCCACAGTGTCGAAGCCTGGGTGGAAAGGTTCAGAAGAAAGAACCGAAGCCATGAAAGCTGCCTGTCTCCCCCAGTGCTCACGGGCTGCTGCCTTTGCCCGCAGCTCTCGGGGGATGCAGAGCTCAGCATCCTGTTCCTCTTCAGTTGTGCCCAGGGGTCTCCAGGTTTATAGGCACCAAAACACTCCTGGAGCCACCATTTTTAAAAAAACTCTTTCTAACAGTATCCAGCTGCCAGCCTTACGGATTGATCTCTCTCTGCCACCCAGGCCTCCGCAGCCAGCCAGGTACATACCTTTTAGTGGGGAGAGTCCCCGAGGTTTATGGAGTGGGGATGAGTCCATGTTAGAGCTTCAGCCCAGCTAGTAGCCTTATCTTGAGAGGGTCTTTATAACAGAGCCTTATCATTTAATTTGCATATATTTCTATATATTATATATATATATTCTGTACTTAAATACTCTCATGGACTCAATCCATAAAATTCTAATACTGTAAGTGCAGCTGCCCTTCACTTTCAGTCCAGCCCAGCATCTGTTCCCGTGGGGACCAGCACCTTACCCATTGCTAGTGCTTGCTCTGGAGCAGGGCCGCTGCAAGAGGAGCTCAGCAGAGGGCTGGCGGACTGGCAACAGGTACTCCATCCCACCTAGTTTCCTGGGGAGCTGTGCCTTTGCCATGGCACTGAGAGCCTGTCCTGCCTGGACCCAGCTCCATCCATGAGGAGCCCTGGCTTCTGCAGCTGCCAATCCCCACGGCACTGCAGAAATGGGTTTCTCCAGCCATAGCTCCAGCCCTGGGGCCACCAGCATGTTGGGCTGTGATGCAGGAGCATAGTGGTGCAGGCAGGCAGCAGGACAGGCAGGGCACCTCATTGCCACTCCCAAGGAGCAGTTGCCCTGCTTCTGTGCCCCAGTTTGAGCTGGGCTGAGGGGCAGGAGGCACTCGTTGGAAGCAGGTGAGTCCTGCCAGGCAGTGGAGGAGGCTGTTCTGCAAGCTGGCAGGGTAACTCTGGTGGTGGCTCCTGGTCCCAAAGGCTCCCTCAGGCTGGCTGTCTCATGCTGTGTTATGTCGAGAAAGAGGTAGAGTCAGGTGCTGTGGGGTGCCCCAGAATAGAGGCTGAGATGGCCCTGGTGCGCTGGGGCCACAGGCTGAGGGATGAGATGCCAGAGCCCTCTGGGCAGGGCAGGGTGCAGGCAGGGCTGCATGCTGGTGTGAAGCATCCTGCCCAAAAAAGGGCTTGCTGTGAGGACAGGGATGGGGCTGTTGTCACTGGCTGGGATGGGATGCAGTGGTGAGCTGTTTGGGGAGGTTTGGACCAAGGCAGTGTGTGGCAGCACAGGACAGTGCGGTTGTCTTCAGTGTGCTCTCAGAGGTACGAAGCAGTGCCCACTCCAGGGATTAGGTGGTGCAAGCCTTACAGCCAGGTGTTCAGGGTCTTGTGCTGCAGTGTCCACTACCAGTGGTGCAGGTTGCTGTCCTTGACATCCCCTTTCACGCCCAGGCGAGCGGCAGGAGTACAGAAGCAGTGGCACTGGTGTTAGGCTGGCTGTAAGTATGCTGTGTCAAGCTGCTTGTTTGACTGTGGTGAGTGACCACATGCCAACCTGTGAGACCTGGCTGGAACCCCCTGTAATTCCAGTGGCAAGATGGGGGGACCGTGGGGAGGAGCAAGGCCTTGGACTGAGGATGAGGTCAGGAGTACCTGGCCTGGTAGGAGCTGGAGGAAGAAAAAGGCAGGATGAGGGCAGAGCTTCTGGCCCCAGTGCCAAGTGTGGGAAGCAGTGGTGGCCAGGCTGGGTGCTTGGGCTGTTTGGGAGCTGGGATGCGGCAGGGAGGGGAGCAGGCTGGCTAATGCTCTGGTAACCTTGTACTGTGGTGCTGCTGTCCTTGCTGCTTCACACCATCTCTGCTCTGGAAAGAGAATAAATTTGTATTTATACTGAGACCCAGATTGGTGCTCTGGCCTCTTCTATTCATGCACCTTGGCTGAGTCAGAGCAGCTCCTGGTGCTGTGCTATCCTGACACTGCTCCTGCAGGGCTGCTGGGACACAGATGTCCCTGTGCCCTGTGTCACCCTGGCTGTCCACACCATTCAAGGCAGAGCAGAAGCTGTGAGCAGAGCCCTGGGTTCCCCAGACACAGGTGCATGCCCCAACCACCATTTTCCTTTGCCCTCTTCCAGAAAGGTCTGCTCAGGGCCACGTGGCAGGCTGAGGGCTGGGGCAGGGTCTGTGTGGGGACAGTCCCTCTTCCTTGCCCAGGAACTTCTGCTATAGGAAACCCTTCAGCCCCAGGAAGGTTATAAGCAGCAGTGGGATGCTGGGCAGGCAGTCCTCTCCCTCCATACTTTCTCCCGGGAGTCCTATTAGGTTTCCAGTGCCCAGAGGTGTCCAGGTGCCTCTGCTGCAAGTGCTGCCCATGTTTCCCATGTCTCCATGGCACAGTGAGGGGCTCAGCTGAGGACTAGCCCACGGCAAGGCTGGGGGCTCTCAGTCCCTTCCTGCCACACAGAGTGCAGCCCAGCCTTGGCTGATGGTGAAGCCTGCCCAGGACTGATAGTTGTAGGGCTGGACCTGCTACCACCCTTGCCTGGATGGGCTGGTGGGGCTGGGCAAAGGCTTGAGATGGTGCTACTGCAGGGAAGTACAGGGACAGCACTCACACAGGAGAGTCAGGTGCTTAAATGGGGGTGAAATGCAGCCTCTTGCTCTTCCCCTTTCAAGGGTAGAGCAAAATGCCCCATCCCCATCCCTGTGCCACAGGCTCCAGGGCAAGGCAGGAGGTATGGGCTGTGATCAGGGAAGCCGGTCACGTCCAGGAACAAATCCAGCAAATGGTGCCAGGGAAGATCTTTTATTTCTCAGCCAGCAAAGCTCAGCGGGGCCCAGCTGAAAGGCGCTGGAGCCAATGACTTGGGGCAGGGAGGCAGCAGGCACTGCTGCACAGCAGGGCTGATGGTCCCTGGCAGGATGAGGACAGCATTGTTCCAGTGTCACTGCAGGGCCAGCCCCCAGCCCTGGGGGTTGCAGGGTACAGCAGCCCCAGTGGTCCAGCAGCCTTTCCTGCATCCAGGGGTAACTGGCCCCGCTCAGCGCTGGCCGTGCCCCAGGGTTGTGGCCTCAAGCTCTCTGCCCTCACTGCACTGCCCTGGGGGTACATCATCCCCTTCCCTGGCTGCTATGGGGCAGGGGGGTACTTCTGCCCCTCCACCCAGCTCCTCCTCTGCCTCCGAGTGTCCAGCCTGGAGCACTGTCCTGGGGTTGAAGCTGTCTGGGGGGATATTGCCTTCCCCAGCATTTCCTCGGCCACTGCCTGCTGGCTGCTCCCCACAACTCCCCTCTTCCAGTGCCTCTACAGGTGTTTCATCCTCCAGCTCTGGGGGCCCCTTGGCTGGCCCCAGCCTCTCGCTGGATGGCCCAGGTGCTGGGGTTCTGCCTGGCTCAGCCCTGGCTGTGCTCCCCGTGCCAGCTCTCTCTGCCCCACTGGCTCCCTGTTCCAGTCCCTGCCCGAACCCTGCTGCCTCTGTCCTCCCCACTGCCTCATATTGCCCTACAGCCAGCTTTTCCCTCTCTGCTGCTGGGCTCTCTTCCTCGTCATCCTCCTCCACTTTCTCCTCCTCTGCTTTCTCCTCCTCCCTCTCCTCTTTTTCTTTCTCTTCCACCTTCTCCTCTTCTTCCCCCTCCTCCTCTCGCCCCCTCTGTGCTCCCCCGCTCTCTGGCTCTGCCCCAGAGGTGCCCAGGTTTCCTTCTTCCCCCAGTCCTGTCCTATCCCTCACTTCCACCTCCACCCCTGCAGCCTGCCCCTGGGCTGCTTCTCCTCCTGGCACTGCCCCTTCGCACCCAGCCCCGGGGGTCCCTTGTTCTGCTTGGTCAGCCCCTGGTTGTTCTGCTTCTTCGGTCCCTGCACGCCACTCCCCCTGCCCAGGGGTCTCCGGGACCCCAACCTTACCCTGGGGTGCCTCTTCCCGCAGCATTGCCCCATCGCCCACCTCCCTGCTCTCCTGCCCCTTGCTGGCCTGTGGCCCCCGGGGCAGCTGGAAG